CTGCTCCTAGTTTTTCACTGATCTAGTGTTAGGCCGAAGCATGACAACTACAGCAAAATTTATATTATAGATACAGGAACATAGTAACCTGCACTCACTAAAAATATTCTCATTGCCTGCGTCTTACATCTAATTCAGGTTTCCCAAATGAGAACTCGCTCACCTACAAACGTGGCTGACCTTCCAATGCCTGCCGAACAGTGCACCGTGATTGGTTGGCCGGAAGCAAGTTGGCGGCACAGCTTCAAACACCCGACCATTGGTGCAGGACTGAAGGGTGCTGTATGATCTGGCCACACCAAGTACGCGAAGTGGTTAACGGTCATCGACTGCCCTCTGAAAATGGTAATGTAGAGTCGCAAAAAGTTCAGTAGCCATTAGACGAATGTTTATCATATCACGTGTCTCCATAGCCCAATGAAGGGGAACCGCACGGTACGGATGCAGGGAACAGATTGCCCAGAAAGTATGTGCACTGACCATGAAAAGCGCATTGCAACCATCAGATTCGGAATCGGACCAGATGTGCTTGCTCATTGAAGCCAACTTACATGAGCAAGTAAGACGCAGTCGCTAATCTGAGTTGTGTCAATTACGCAAATCAAAGAGCACTGCTATGGAAGTGTTTAGGCTTGGCCAAACGATTCCTCATAAATTGACCGGTTCCTACAAGAGTGCGGGACGCATACACAGTCTCCTTGTATATAGATACTGTAGCAACTAGAATATTGAACTCACTTTGAATCCACTTCGAGCACTGTATGCATCACCGATTCAAATGGGTCAGGTTTGGTCTCCTTGAACGTAACCTTATACGGTCCGTATTTTTCCGTCTGGCCTTTCGATTTTGGAAAGTACTGCCGGCATTTTTCGTGTTTTCCTTAATGCTATCAGTTTTCGAGAACGTATAAGAAGTGTTCCTACAACATAAATTCATTTATTTGAACATTTGAACCATGGACACTCCATGTGGATTGGTAAAATTTTCTTTCAGAGAATTCGACATATTCTCGGAAATGACTAAAAAACTTGGACGGAACAGTGGTTCAGAAGAAATCTGACAAAAAACACCCCTTCGGCTGAGCTAATTTATATTTTTTGATCATAGTAGTGTTTAAAGGAGTTTCTTTACTATAAATAACTTGAGTATCGTTTACTTTACTAAACGATACAGGCTACTTCTTTCCTCGAGAAAAAATTGCGCAGAGCTTGTTGCATTCCTCCGCCTAAATGTGTTATGGGTGATCACTGATGAAGCGTGCGTTTCTGAAGTTTTATGCGTGAAAACAGAGTTCTCGAAAAGAATCGTAACCACAAGGACAATGGACAATTTACACCAAGAGCGAAGTATGTGATAGGTGCCACTAGACTAATTGACGAACTAAGACATATTTTGAATTGAGTTCTGCTTTATGAATTATTATAGTGTAGGCAGAACGCTTTCTATGTTAGAGCAGGATGCATTACATGAGTGTAATGCCCTTGCAATAGGTGAAGGGGCCCAGATGAAGTGGCCACAGTCTTAGTGATGGCACCAAGAGGAGCAAAGGGAAGCCCCACTACTGACACAGTACTACGGCAGGAATTCGATCAAGTGGTAGTTTTCTTAACTTTTTGGATTTTCCGCCAGAAATAATACTATTTCTATTTCTTCGGTGCCCTTACCGGCGACTTCCAAGCAAAGGTCTGTGAAAATAGACTCATGCGGCAGGGTCAACCGTCACGTTCGAACATTTTCAGGGTTTTTGCGACCCCCTTTTCTCAAGGGGGTCACCCCCTTATCTCAAGGGGGTCCAGTTGCGACCCCCTCTTAGGTAATGGAAGTGCCGAATGTGCTGACTAAATGTTAAGTGAAATATTTATTTCACTCATTTTACTTCAAAGACAGTGAACTAAAACCTTTTAAAGACAATGAACTTCCATGACATAGAACAAAACATTTGAATATTGAATTCTTCACTGGCATTTGAATTGAATTCTTTTCAAAAAATTCAATTCAAATGTTCAGTAAAGAATTCAATATTCAAATGTTGTGTTCGTAAGTTCGTAAGTTCATTGTTTTCAAATGGACAATGAACTTCCATGAAATATGAACAGAACATTTGAATATTGAGATCTTCACTGAAATTTGAATTGAATTGTTTTCAAAAAATCATTGAATTTCTGAAAAAAATTCAATATTTTTTTCATGTTGCCCAAAACTTCAAACTTCATGCTTCCGAAAGAATCACAAGAGCAGTTCAAGGGAGTAAATCAAAGAGAGTTACGTTCTCCATCAATGCATCTCCTAAGATGAGCCCCAAAGGAGCAAGAATCACAGGGCACTGGCTAATGAAAGCTATTTTTTATGGTTAGCCTCGCGAGATCAAAATTTTTGTTCGCTCACAATCACGCCAAAATGAGGATGAAAGCGAAATGTGTAAGACCAAATGGAGGGATATCCAACAAGTAACATGAAGACTGACGAACTTCTGCTCAAACAGCTGAAAAAAGAGGAAGGATTAAAGAAGAGTAGGACTGACATGATTGCGTCAGAAACCGCCGCAGAAAGCGTTTGCGTTGCGGCGTCAACCTTGGAGCGCGGCAGGTATCACCCGGACGCTGGAAAACTGGGACGCGGCGAAGAAAAAGTTTTAGGAGAGTGTAACTTTCTTGAGACGTATTTGTTTCACTTATTGAGGTAGGTTTAAACTGTGCCTGAGGTGGCTTTACAGAAAATTGCAAGGATGACCTAACTCTCCCAAAAGTATTTCTGTCAGAAGCGGAAAACCCAAAATTCTGAGAAGGCGCACCTCCAACTTTGAGAGCTCATAAAATCTTTCGTATGCGACATCTTGGAAATTTGTGAAAAGTTTTAGAAACTTCAAATATTTCTCTAACAAAAGATTATAAAAAGTTAAGTGATTGTCCCCTTTTTCAAAAATTTGCCCCGTTCGAACAGTTCCCGTGCAAAACCGAGTTTTTAAGCTTTCAGCGACTATAACTCACTTCATTTTGATTGCTGTGTTTCCCTCTTTCCATGGGGTGAAAGAGCAGGTTTTGCTCTTTCTAATAAGCCCTAAACCATTTTTCAAAGTTCATTTTTCGAGAAAATCCCACGTTCGAACATTTCGGGCGGTTTTGCCGAACACATTCTTTGAAATCGCGAGTTTTTGGGCTTTCAACGAGCATAACTCGCTTCATTTTGATTGCTGCGTTTCCCTCTTTCCATGGGGTGAAAGAGCAGAATTTGCTCTTTCTAACAAGCCCTAAATTTTTCAAAGTTCATTTTTCGAGAAAATCCCACGTTCGAACATTTGGATCCCATAGGTTTTTGAGCAGCACATGCGAGGTTTCGAGCTTTCAGCAATAATAACTTCCTTCAAAGAGCATGTTGGAAAGAGGCGAAGACATTTTTGAAGACCGCGAGGTTTCTTCTTTCTTATGTGTTTCACGATTTTGTGGAAGAACCGTCCGTAGAAAAGTAGGTTCCCGAAGAAGTTCAATTTCAGCCACAAGAAGTCAAACTTTTCATGGAGATGCATTCAACTGTTCTCTATTCCTCAAGGAAAACACCGTAATTTGCCCAAAACTGTCTCTTTGTGCATAATTAATCGAATCTAATGCGGTCTGCACAAACAATTCTTGCCCTCGGATACGCCACCCACGCACGCTGTGGCCCTGTGGCTGACAGTCCTCGAAATTGCGACCGTCCCTTCCGAAATGAAAATGCGACCCTGCGTGTTCGAACAGCTTCGAACAGTACGGTTGACCCTGGTCCCAGCAGTACTGTGAAAACAGACTCCATGCGCTTTAATGCATGTATCCCTTCAAGTGTAATCACCTTCTATATGAATGTAAGTAATGAAGTATCAAAAATGTATGGTTAGTTCAACCTTCTACGAAGTTACACAGCTGCACTAGTACTGTGCTCCGTTCGCAAAACATCATATGCCAAAAGTCTTCCAGAGTTTCCAGCAGTGGTCCCTGTACGTTTATTCAGCAACTGAAAAGAGTGAACTGTAAATGATTTATCAGAACTGAAAGAGCTGAATGAAAGGGCCTTGCATCAAATTGAGCGATTCTATCCGCTCCATCATCGACGGCTTTCAACCTCTTTTTCTTCGTCAACCATTATCCTCTTTTTCCCGGTCTCCGGACTGCTTCCGGACAATAAATCTCGTGGCAAACTCCGCCTACTTCGGTGCGTGCCCCGCCCACCAATAGCATTTGGCCCCTTCCTTTCGCCGACCTCTACCCCTTTTTCACCGGTCTCTGGGACCTCTTGGAACCAAATTACGACACTTTTGGCAAACTCCGCCCACTTCTCTTTTCCTTCGTCTTTCCTTTTCCCCTCTACTCCCTTTTTCCCGGCCTCCGGGACTTCTTGGAGCCGAGTTATGAATTTTCGTCGCAAACTCCGCCCACTTTGGTCAAGCCCCGCCCACCATGACAGCTGGCCTCCACTCCTCCACCCACCTCTATCCACCTTTTCCCGGCCTCCGGGACTTCTTGGAGCCGAGTTATGAATTTTCGTCGCAAACTCCGCCCACTTTGGTCAAGCCCCGCCCACCGATGACAGCTGGCCTCCACTCCTCCACCCACCTCTATCCACCTTTTTCCGGCTCTTTAAGACTTCCCGGCCCGAATTATGAGGACTTGTAGAAAATGCTGTACACTTCAGAGCGCGCTCCGCCCATTGTGGGGCCTCCGCCCACGTCATGTATGCTGGGAACACCTTAGACATTGCTCCCTACACCAATTGTTTTCTGCTCTGTAGGCTTTCTCCCAACCGAGTTATGAAATTTTTCATAAAGCACTGCTTTTTTGGAGAACGCCCCGCCCACCGGGGGTGGGTCTCCCTAATTCGATGTGACTTACCAATGCACACCTTTACCCACTTTTTGGCCCAGTTTCGAGGTCGTTTTGTAACTGAATTGAAATCTTGGTCGTCAGTACACTTCATGTCGACGCACGCCACGCCCACTGT